AGCTTGTAATATGTCGTACATCCAGCACCGCCTCTCCTTCCATCTCTTGCCATCGACTAGTCAATACTTGGCCAATGCCATAGTTAGGACCAGTCTGTTTTGTGTTGTTATAGTAACCATAGGTTATCCCCAAATCATTAGGACTCGGATTTGGTGTGCTGCTGCATGATATCGACTATTCTCTTGTTATAATTTTTTCTACCTATAATTACACTACCAAGTCTTAAGTAAATGTACAACTGCTGTTAATTTTTATTCAGCGAAAATCAACCTATAGAAGGGTCCTTATCTTAAACTCTATGTAATTATTACATGTTGTAGAGTAGTTTTTGCAAGGCAATGGCGAAAGTGCCCGTGGAAGAAGTGATCCGTTTCAGTACGGATTGTTTTAAAGCGCTCGGTGTGAACGCGAAAGCCGCCTGCCAGCAAGCGGATATGCTGTACCAAGCGGACCGTATCGGATATTTCAGTCATGGCTTAAATAGATTAGGTTTGATGTTTTTATTATTTTTACGAGACAAGGCATAAGGATGCGGTAACTTATTGTTATATAAGCAGTTTCTTGCTCAAATTAAGTGGATTGCAGATACAATAGCAACGTATAGAGTGTAAATGACCAATGAATAAAGACTGAATAAAGACGTCAATTTCGTGTTATCTAAAGAGCAAAATAATAAGAACCAAGAACCAAGAAAAAATGATGTCTTGGTGCTCATGGCAAAACTTATGAAATCACAGGAATTTAATACTAATAAGCGAGAAAGTTTTCTTAATTACTTTTCTAGAATTCTATGTAAATGATGTTAAAAATGGCGCCTGTACACCAAATAAACAACCCAAAGTGGAAAAAGAAACTGTATCGATGGCGTGGGTGAACGCTAATAACGTTTTCGGCTCTACAGCCAGCCACTTCAGTATGGACTTGGCTATCAAGAAGGCAAAGTGCAGCGGTGTCGGATGGGTTTGTGTAAAAGGTAAAAAGACATGTTTCAAATTTACCAGGTCGTGTACAAATCAATAGAATATAAATCGGAAACCATTGAAAGCTTCGCCTTAGACGCTGCGGTGCAGCGATGCTTGCCGACTCGACGTTGTCGACTTTACTGGGCAGCGTAGCTTTTCACAAGGCCTAACATGTAATACCTTATATAACACGAGTGAAGGTTAGCTGAGAACCTTCTGTCTGTTCTGTTCAAGAGTCCAATCACTACGGTATCGGTGGATACTGGGCGATGAAGGCCGCCAAGCAGGGCCTAATGGCGTTCGCACTCAGCAACAGTTCGCCGCTTCTCGTGCCCACAAGGAGCAAAAAGGTTTATACATGCTTAAATAAAACCTATAGATATTCCACACAAGTTTGACGTTTAACCGAGAGACCACAGATTCTTTGACAATCATCATTATCTAAGTGTTCAATATTTTGGCCTTTGTCTTTGACAACAAAGTTAAAGTATAAAGTACATATTAAGTAGACAGCATGCGCGTCGCCAGGAAGGTTATGAGGGGTGCAATCTTAAAACGTCAAATAAATATAAAAACTACTTCGGATAAGACCATGAGGGATGAATTGAATGTAACAAGGAAAACGTCAGTTACGACTGTGGAGGTACACCGGTAGAGATAGACCTAGAAAGAGTTGGATGGATTGCGTGAAAAGTGACATAATTAAAAAGGGAGTGATGACTGAGATGACGTATGATAGAGTTATGTGGAGGAC